TCTGTGATTTTGCTGTGTTAGGTTGAAATTTTGGAATTCTCGGGTAGATTTAAAGGTATTTGTGGCTTTTCTTGTCTGACTGGGACTTGTCCTGTATCTGGAGGAATGGCTTCTAGACGGTATTCATTGTCTCTGGGACTTCCGGGATGGAAGTCAAAACTCGGACTGGCTAAAGGTTCGAGTCTAGCCTGTCTTTTTTAAAAAAGATAGGAGAGAAGCGTTCCTAGGCAGTTTTCTACTGCCTCTGTTCAGGGACTTGTTCTGTATCTCTGCACAACTGAAACTGATTTGGTGGTATTCTGTGGTGTAAATGCGGAGCATGCCGGTGTAAAAGTGTTTTTATGTTTGTTTGTTTCTGTTTTGTTTTTTTAAAAAAACACCCTTCTAAACCTCTCTCGAGTTTCCATGGTGATTCAAAGTTTTTAATGGGGAATGTTATCTGTCATTATTGTTTAAATATGTGTCTTTGTTGTTTGTTTAAAATTGTTTAGCTAGTGAAATTTCTGTTTGTGTCTCTTTAAAAAATATGAATGTATTGCCAATCTGAGGAATGTTAATTATTTACATGTCACCTAAAAATTAAGGCTAAGAGTTCTAACTAACTGAAAAGTATGGCTTTGGTGTAATGGAGGAAGGTAAAGAGAAAAGTTGAAAGAAAGTTGAATGGATGACAGGCCAGTAAGCTGGGACAAGTAGAATAGGGAAACTGAGCAGAAATCCTGTCTTCCCTAAATCCTTAAATCCTGTCTTCCCTAAATCAAGGACATTGGAGCCATCTTGTAAATCCTGTCTTCCCTAAACCAAGGACACTTGGGAGTAAATGATTTGTATTTGCCTCCCTAAACAGAGGTTAAATAGTTTATGTCAATGTACTCAGGGAGACTGATAGAAATCTGATTAGTGTCATTTGCTGTCCACACCCAAGGACAAATGAAGTTAGAAAATCAGCCTTATTTTGATTAGTTCTTTTATTCAGGTATTTTTTAAAGAGGAGGCAACCCAGTCCCTCCCTGCAACATGGGTAATAGCTCCTCCTCAAACTCTACTGTCTTAGAATGTATGTTAAAGAATTTAAAAAAGGGGTTGGTTGGGGACTATGGAGTAAAACTATTCCCCTGGGAGTTAAAAAGAATGTGTGAAATAGACTGGCCATCTTTTGGAGTAGGATGGCCACCAGAGGGCACATTGGATGTCCCCGCGATCAGGAATGTTCACAGAATTATCACAGGAGACCCAGGTCATCCCGACCAGTTCCCTTATATTGACCAGTGGCTAGAAATAGCAGAGCTTAAGCTGCTTTGGATCCGGTTTTGTGTATATAAGGGAAAAGGGCAGGACCCTCAGAAGGGGAATAAGCCTCCTATTCTGCAGGAACTCCCTGAGGAAGCCCTGCCAGTTCTACCACCTCCATACATGCCTCAAGCAGTACCCAGTGGCCCTTTGCCTAGCCAGGGAAGCCTAGATACACCACCTCCTTCCGTCTCCCCACAACTGGACTCTCCAGAGCCAGTTGGATGATATTTGCGCTCAGCTGATCGGGGACCCAAACCACTCCTGGCTTTCCAGATGCCTTTCCAAGAAATGCAGGGTCCTCATATAATTGGAGAAAACAGGACCCCACAAGAGGGGGGATTGGTCTTTTACTATCAGCCTTTCACTATGACCGATGTCTTAAATTGGAAGCATCACACTCCCACTTATTTTGACAAACCTCAAGCCAATCTGTCAGACCCAGAAGCCCACTTGGGTCGATTGCAAGCAACTCCTTCTCTTGCTCTTTAACACTGAGGAGTGCATGAGAATAATAACTACTTGCTTAGAAACTCTCTACCCAAATATGCTAGACCAGGTAGTCCACAAGAAAACCCAATCAAGCCAGATTTTTGTTAGCTATACTTATCAGCCTGTGGCATGATACGACTCTACTACCAAATGCACGTGTGTGGGGGGTGGGGATTGTATTGGACCGAAAAAATAATAATAGGACCTGTCACGGCCAATGTGCAGCTAACTAATGTTGCTCCTATTTGTTTCAACAGTACGCAGGGCCAACATCCAACAGGTCACCTCCCAGATGAAACTATGCAACTCTACCTCCAAGGCTGAAAACACCACCTACCCCTGGTACCCCCTGCAGGAACATTCTATGCGTGTGGGACCACTGCTTACCTCTGCCTGCCTGCAACCAGAAGAACTCCCTACAAACCCCTCTGAGAGGGAGAAGCTGGTTGCTAACCCCTTGGCCATCGTCCCTTTCCAGAAGGAAGTAGCTAAGAGCAGTCGTCACCCCCCCCCCCCCCCCCCCCCCCCCCCACCCCCCCCCCTCCCCCCCCCCCCCCAACGTGATTTGTTGTCTCTCTCCGAAGACGGGGCGGAGGGGGGGGGAAATGAGGAGGAAACTGGTCTTGCAAGGTGTATCAAGCCATAAAAACTGAACAATGCACTGCCCTGGGGGGTGGGAGGGGAGGTCATTATCGCTGGCCCCAGGACAGATAATCAGATATGGCCTGGGGACCCCCAACACCTGGGGGCCTTCCTGTAAGCCCAAGAAAGGAGGCGGAACCATATCTGCAAGACAAAGACCCCAGAAGGTTATAAAAAGTGAAGCCCTCTGCGCATTACTTCACTCTGATTTGGAAATTATTCCCGGAGTCCACTAGTGTTAATAAACGGGGTCCCTCCCTTTCTCTAGGAAGCGTGCTTAGTATTTCCTTGGTCTTCGGCCACACTATAAGACTCATTGTTTCTCAATCACACACATATACACACACACACACACACACACACAACACACAACCCTCTTCTCATACACACAGAGTTGCCCCCATAATTTCTCTCCCAGACATGAGTTTTGGCCCCACAATCAGAACCTGCTACATGAAGTGAAAGGCTGAGCACAAAATGAAATTGTGCGGCCTTTGTCAAGAATTATTCAGAATTTTAGTTTGGTGCCAGGATAGCATTCAACCAACCAGGCTCATGGCCATCACAATGACCATACAGGTCACATTCTCATGACACCCTCCTTCTAGGGGTCTCCCAATGGCCCAGGAGAATGGAACAGAGCTGGGTGCATGTAGAGATCAGCTAGGGTGGGGCTGCACTGATGGGAGAGGGGAACAAACACACAGTGGGAAATGGGACTCCAGGGCCTACTGTCCCCTCATCATTTGCTCTCACTCACCTTGGCGAAGCCCATGGTTGCTCAGGGTTCAGAGGGCTGTGGCTTGATGGCGAGGAACAGGTATGAGAAGTGTTTCAGAGGAGCAGCCTCTTCTCCAGAATCCCTTTGGTTGCAGCTCATTTAAGGCCTCCACTGAGCCAATCACCTTCTTCCACATCCTTCCAACACAGAGCTAGCAGAGTTCCTAAGGTTTCTGCACCAGAAGGTCAGCTGATTTCAGAGCAGCAGAGGAGGGCCTGGGGGGTAGGAGAGGTGGGGGAAGGTGACCTGCCCTAGAGAATAAAGTAGGGCTGACTGACAGTGTGGAGTGGGGGGAGGGGATGAGACAAAAATAGAGACGGAGGAAAGACAGGAAGGGGGAGGCAAAGGACTCTGGGAAGGGAGGGCACATCCCTAAACTCTGAGGGTGGCTCCTCCACTCTCTGAACCAGGGAATCTCTGAGACCAGGAATGGGTCTCCTCCTCAGCCCCTCATCAGCCTGAGACTGAGGAGGGGCAGAGGGAAAGGGCAGATTTCAAAAGCAGGTTGGAGCATTTCTCAGAGCTTCCAGAATCAAGAGCTTCCCACTGGGGAGTCAAGGTGCAGGGGAATGTCGGGAATGTCCACCAGGTCCCTCGAACAGAGTGCACCCCAGCTTCAGAGTCCAGAGGTTCGATAGCAGTGACAGGCTCAGGACATGGCAAGACCTGCAAGACCCCTGAGGTGGCTTTGTCACACATAGCTTTGCTCACCTCTCAGCTCTTCCCTAACACCCAACTCTGGGCCAAAGCCCCACACAGCTCAGCACAGCCACTGTCTGCCCTCTGTATTAGTGACCCAGGGCTGCCAGAACAATGCACCACAGACTGGGTGGCCAAACAACACAAACTGATTTCCTCACAGTTCTGGGGGCTAGACGTCTAAATCAAGCTGTTGGCAGAGTTGGTTCCTTCTGAAGCTGCAAGGGAAGGCTCCTAGGTTTGTAGATGCCGTCTTCATGTTCACATGGCATTCTCCCTGTATCCATGCCTGGCTACTAACTTCCCACTTTTATGAGGACACTGGTTCTATTGGATTAGGGCCTACCCTAGTGACCTCATTTAACCTGATTCCTTTTATAAAGACCCTGTCTCCTAGTAAGGTGATATTTTGAAGTACCGGGGGTTAGGGCTTCATCATACGACTTTGTGGAGGGACACAATTCAACCCCTAAGATCCTCAAAGAGAACCTGGCCCCTGAGAGGCCACTCATGAGCCCCATAAGGACAGACCTATACATCGCACTTCCTTAGTGAAAGTCTCACTTGGGTTAGCTGGACCTCAGCTGACATCTCCCTGTCCCTTAAAAACCCATTCAATTGTCTGAAACCCCCTTCCACACCTAGGAAGTCCAGATCCTTCCCTGAGCTGTCTTTGAATTCCAGGGTGGGAGAGAAGGGAGCTGCTTCTGCTTCAGGTACAAGTATTACTACTGGGCTTTGTCTCCAGAAGCCTGGCTCCCTGACCCCCCATAACACTCCACTCCTCCATGACTGTCTCACAAAAGCCACCATCTGAAGACATTTTGTGTTTTATTGTGCATTGTACCACTTTAAAAAAAATGTTTTTATTGATTTTTTTTTTGAGAGAGAGAGGAAGAGGGAAAGAGAGATAGAAACATTGATGAGAGAAATACATCACGGCTCATTATATAGAGTTCAGGGTGCTTTCCTTGTAGAGAGAGTCAGATTGGCTGCCTCCTGCACACCTCCCACCAGAGATTGAGCCTGCAACCAGGGCATGTGCCCTGACCAAAAAGCTACCTCTTTTTTTAAAATATATTTTTATTGATTTCAGAGAGGAAGGGAGAGGGAGACATAGAAACATCAGTGATGAGAGAGAATCACTGATTGGCTGCCTCCTGCATGCCCCCTACCCGGGATCAAGCCCACAACCCGGGCATGTGTCCTTGACCACAATCAAATCCAGAACTCTTCAGTCCGCAGGCTGACGCTCTATCCACTGAGCCAAACCAACCTGATAAGCTTTTACAATACAAATTTCCCCCTCCTTGTACTTAAAAAGGATCCTGACAGAGCCTCAGATGGCTTAGAGTTCTCAGGTCATGGACAGGTCAAACATGTGCCTGGCTGTTGTCTTCACACTGGTCTGCTTGCCTTGATAAACAGCAGGCACTGTCTGTACTCACTGGGACTGGAGCCCACAGCCTCAGCTCCAGGTGGCACTGTGGATCATGAGGCTGGACAGCAGCCCAAGAAAAGGCCACTAAGTGACTCCAGCCATGGGGGTGACCCCTATCAACTGTGGCCATCAGCTTGGCTCTGTAGGCGACATGAAAAGTTGGCTCCTGGGAGAACATGGCAGAGACACAGAAAACCACAAGACAGCCTCCTGGCCCATCAGGCCATCCCACCCCCACCCCAGCTTGTTCAAATGCAGACTTCTGGCCCCATCCCAAGTGAAGACTCAGGGTGAGGGCATGGGATTTGCATTTTTAAGTTCCCTGGGTGATTCTGATGTGGAATGTTCCAGAAGCACAGTTCCAGGGGCACTGATTTAGATCCTGAATTCTGGGGAGAGTGGGAAATGAATGAAATGGCCCAGGTTTCACCCACTCATCAGCCAGGAGTGCTGAGGAAGCAGCGACCCCAGGTGAAGAGATTGCTTCATCTACTGTCTATGGTCAGCACTGAGCAGACAGGAGCGAGGGAGTTCTCTTTGAACAGCGGTTCTCAACCTGTGTGTCTCGACACCTTTGGGGGTCGAAAGACCCTTTCACAGGGGTCGCCTAAGAACATCGGAAAACACATATATAATTACATATTGTTTTCGTGATTAATCACTATGCTTTAATTATGTTCAATTTGTAACAATGAAAATACATCCTGCATATCAGATATTTACATTATGATTCATAATAGAAGCAAAATTACAGTTATGAAGTAGCAATAAAAATAATTTTATGGTTGGGGGGCACCACGAGATGAGGAACTGTATTAAAGGGTCGCAGCATTAGGAAGGTTGAGAACCACTGTCCTTGAGGGAACTGCAGACACTCGGGGTGGAGGCAAAAAGAGGTTTTTAAAGATGGGGAGGGTGTCCTATTGAATGGGACAGTTCTGCATTCAGGGTGGTGACCAGCAAGGATGTCCAGGGGCCAGATTGTGGAAAGTCATCCTTGTGGTCATTGGTGCCACCCAGAACGGGCAGCACTGGTGCCCAGGGGTGGTCTCAGGACTGGGTCCCAGTTCCCCACCCATGTGGTGTTGACTGGGACCTGGTGGAAGCCGAACAGGGTGAGAGACACTTCTGGAAAAGTGGGGGGAGGGGGGACGTGCTGGGGCTCAGTCTCCCGATCAGGCCTGTCCTCTAAAGACCCATGCACCTGAGCCGCTGTTGCCAGGCAGGGCTTGCGCTGCAAGGAGTCAGCAGGCTGTGTTCTGAGAAAAGCCAGCCATTCCGGGAAATGCACATCCTGGGGGCCAAAGCAGGTGGAGGCGGGTTTGGGGGAGGGGAGGCTGAGCACTTCCTGTGTTCGGTCCAGGGCCAGCCTTCGTGTCCCACCCACCCCACCCCCTACCCCCAGGGCTTAGCTCCACCCACCTTGCTGGGCCCGCCCTGGGAACAGAGGATGGGGCCGGGCAGCGATCACCACCCCCGACAGGCCATCACCACCCCGGACAGGCCGGTGGTGGGAGAACCGGCTCCCGCCTGACCCCCTCAGCGGGAGGTGATGTCCCCCACCAGCAGGGGCAGAAGGAGCAGCAGGAGGGTCACCCACGACGAAGACGAGGACAAGCGCCCAGCGGCCTGGTTGATCTCGCAATGACAATTGCAGGGTTCGGGCTTGAGAGTCGCTTTGGGGGGTCTGGGGTAGCGAGGGCCAGCGCTGGGGGCCGGGCAGTCCAGCCACTGGGGGCCCATGGGCTGCGGGGAGTCCGGATCGGCCTTGACGCTGCCCTTGGGAAAGCGCCAGTAGTGGGCGCCCTTGAAGAAGTAGGTGGCACCTGCAAGGTGGGCGGAGAGCTGCAGGGCTGGTGCCGGCTGCCCCCGCCCCGCCCACCCGAGGACTCCTCGGCACCCCCAGGCCCACCTCCAGCCC